ATGGATTGGAAACCTGAGGTATTTGTTCTAATATCTGATGAATACACCGGCCTTAATGCTGGCACAGGGGAAGCATCTGCACCTTTGACTGTACCTGTGAGTTATGCAGAAACCAAGGAAACCTTCCCTGTAAATGTTAGATAGGAGACCAATGAATTTATCTGTACCACTGTTCCCATAAAATCTGCCTCTCCCAATTACTTTCTCTGCAAAGATGAAAACTGTATCTTCAGATAGAATAGAATAAGCTAGCTGTGAGTAAATAGAAAGGGTAAGCGAATAGACTAAAAAAAATACACACCAAATACAGAAGATAAATATACAGTTTTCCTGCACATAACTTCAGTGCTTTGTACAAACTGGGTCCTCAGGTAACTCTTAAGGTGATACTGTCTGAGACTCGGTGAGATTCACACCACCAGAGTTTCATACTGCTGAGAACAGAACTCGTTGCTCAGGTTGAGTTGCTGTGACTGTTATCAACATGCAGATGTGATTAGTTGCTAACGAACAGACATCTCTGTACTTTAATAGCATCACACATTTGGATCTTACAGTCTTGCCATGGTGATTGTGCTCCCTGTCTAGCATGAGTCACTGCACTCTGCAGGTATGTACAGAGTGTGCAGTGCAAAGCGATGCATCGGGCAGGTGTGGCAAAGGACAGAGCAGTTCAGCTAAAAGGAAATTGGAATATATTTTCAAAGACAATGTACAAATAGCTTAGTGTTTGATTTCCAGGGTGGTGATTAATTGCAAACTGTAAGATAAGGGCATACAGGACAATCAGAGCAATAGCCTTTTGTTATATCATGCTGTAGATTCACCTCTGGTTTAAGCTGGCTTTTGGTGGTGTAAACCAGAACACAGGTATTCTGAAATCAGTGTAAAGACTGACATGGAAGCCTTCGTCTCTGGTGAGTTYTTGCTGCTGGCAAGCTGAGCATGGAGGACACTGAGAACAGCAGCCAGGGCTGGCTGGGGGTTTCTGACACTGAGAGAGGCAGGTAACTCCCCTGTTATTCCACAGCAGTTGTGATGATGGAAATGAAAAAATGGCCTGCTTCCTTCCAAGTGTAAATCACACCCAGACTTACACTGATCCTACTTGTTGTCTGGCATATGCTTGTGCCAGAGAGCAGGTCTCAACTTTTCTGCGCATTAAGGACTCAGGGCCTACAGCGAGATTGCATTTGAATGCATAACTCAAAAGCTGTGTGACCTGCATGCTCAGGAGGTAAAGTTTATATATATCATCAGTTTCTCCAGCTTAATCTGAGTGCAAAAGAGATTTAGAACTTTTACATCCTTCCCTGTATTTATAAAATCACTCTATGGTTTGGTACAACTTGCAGTCCCAGCTAAAAGCAATAAAAGTTCCTGTGTTCCAGGTCATAAATTGGGGTGAGATGGCAGTGCTGTGTGATGAGGCTTGCACAACAGCCACAGTGTATACCTGACCCAAAGCATTGCTATTAATTCCTCACTTTCATGAACACAAAATTCACATCCCATTGCTTCTCTACTCACTTTTCTAAAAAGAGAATCTCCTATTATATGCTGCAGCCAGAAATCTTTCTCTGGACAGTATAAAATTCTTGGAGATATTAATGCCATGAGGCAAGATCATCTCTGATTTGAGGCTTATGCATTCCCCCATTACCCAGTGCCTCACACCACTGGAAAATCAAATAGGTTCCTGGCCTGAACGTTCCTGCTGTTATCTAACCCTCACTGTACTTTATGTCAATTATTAACATCAGCTTTGATAGAAATCTTAACACATGGTAACCAATAGGACTCCTACATCATTTCTGTTACTCTGTTATTTTGCTGTGTGATCTTTGTTTTGGAGCCTACATTTCTATGTCTCACTTTCCAAAATGCTCTCACAGCTGGGGTGGTTTGGGCTGACATATTGATTTCAGTCTTTTAAAGACTGGGTGCCAAATTTGTTAACCATCTCACCCACAAGCCAAAGACTACAAAGACTATATGTTGTTCATCATATGTGATTCTTCTGCTTAGTAGTTAATTTTACCCCCAAATACCACAAAGATTTTGACAAAAAAGACTAGAACCCAGGAAATGGCTTTCATGAACCCTCAGATCAGAGGATATTTAGACGCATTGAAGAAGTTGTTGAAGAGCGATCTTAGGTGTGAAAAGCTTTTCTTGGCTTGGATTGCTCACTAACTTAATGTGTTTCCAGTGAATTTCAGACGCACTGGCATTCGTTTGCATTTCTTCAATATAGTAAATAATGAAAAGTAACTCCCGCGAAGTGCTAACAAAGCAGTTTTGATGTAAAACTTGGGACAGGGGGATGGATGTACATCCCAGGCATTTGGAGTGAGGTGTGCACATAAGGGCTGATTTGGCTTGCTCTGCTTCCCGTACAGGTTTGACCAGAAGTTTAGGACTCTCTACCTGGGAAGGCTGAATGTGTATCCATTAATGTGTAACACTAATCTTGAGAGAACAATTGTGTTGGGGATGGAGAAAAATGTCACTAGAGACACATCTTCCTGCTATTTTTGTTTAGAGAATGCAGTTTTAAGCTTTACCATCTGGCAAGTGTCAAAACAGATTTCAGTCTTGAAGTGATTCAAAGAGCCATAACCTGCCTCTTGATAGCTTCCCCATCCCTGCCATCTTTGTCCAACAGGAAAAGGACACATCCTGATTYTGACCCAAGAGGAACTTGGAGAGTGACAAAAGTACAAAACTGAGCCTGTGGTATGCAGGCTTTTTGACAGGAAAATGATGACAGTATCCAATAAAGGGTAATTCCATTTTCATGCTTTTTTCCCAGTATGATATAATTGCACATACACAAATGCCATCATATCTGTCTCTGTGCAGTTGGCTCAGGCAACGTACATGGACAATTGGAATATCAGCCAGAACAAAAGGTAGCAGAAACTGTCACTGTTGAAGCTTTCCCAGCATGGCATAGCCCTACCAGAAGAGCTGAATAATACCTGGCATGCCAAGTGTGTTTGGATAACTTGTTTGAGAGGAGCACAGTTTTTCCCATTTCCTCTTTTCTGTTCTCACCTCGAGAAGAGCTGGCAGGACTAATCCTTTGAGGTGAGCATAGTCAGCTTTCTCTGTAAGAAATGGGGTCTTTGCATTGCAATTGTGAGAGGAGACAGTCTGCTAAATGTCACCAAGGCTATGGGTTGCATCCACTACAGGCCATTCATCACCAAAGGACTAGTAGAGTTAAACATTAATTGAACAAACCAATGATCCAGGCAGATAGAACTCCTACAGTTAAATTCTTGGGAATTCCATAATTTTAGAGCCTGCCTGGATTAGAGAACAGTGTAGGTCGGTTACAAAAATCTAGCTCATCCTTGGAGTCTGGCTGTCTCTTGCAAGGTGATTCTATCTGAAAGCCTTTTGTGTTTGCTCCATTTCACATCAAACTACCTATTAAAGGGATAAACCTTGTAACAGTGGCAACATCTAGTCAGCACTTTTATTTTAAATGCAGGAGTCTTAGAGAAGATTCCCCTAGCAAATCTAAGGAAAGTGGGACAAATTGTTATTTAGAAAGAGAAGAGATAGCAATATGTTCTGACAGGCAAAATGAACTTGCAATCCAGATGGAAGAATAATTTGCCATTGCATTTTCTTCTACTTAACTGTACCAATCTGCAGTACTCCATAGTATGCATGAGAAAACCGTTTCCACCGCTACTTTCCTGAATGCTGTTTTTTGTTTGTTGTGGTTTGWGGAACTCTGTCTGCATTTCAGTATGGCTAGAATTGGTGTTAAGCGTAAATGAGCTCCTGGTCTACTGAATTATTTCTAGGGTGCTATGCAATGTCAGATACCTTTGCAATGTCACAGTTTGTTGTTTTATGTTCATGTGAAACAGGCTGATGGAAGATTGAAGGAAAACGTCTCCCAGTTCCAATAGCTCAGAAAAGGAAAGAAAAATACATTCACTTCCAACTTGACTGTTTCTTTTACTCCTCTGGGAAACATTTGCCAGACCTTACTCTTCTATAACTAGGCAGAAAACTGGCAGATTCAAACTAAGTAAATAATGGGGTAGATAAAAGCTAAGTGTATTTGCAAGATGAATTGTGAAAGTCTTTTGGATGATAAGAGAGCTCTACTTTCCACAAGTCTAGCGTAGTTTTCAACATCATTTCATCCACTGAATCACTTGATGAGTTTATATGGACGTGGATCCACTTCACAAACTATAGGGAGCTAGATAAATACAGAATGTTCTTTTCAGTCAGTGTTTATCATCCTATTTGCTCACTGAAGGAAGCAGTCATTTATGAATTTAAACTGCTTCTCTTCCCTCCTTTTTCCTCCAGGCTTTACGCAGGGACAATTCATGAAATTCTGTGTATCATACTTATTTCAGGAATAATTCCAGAAGGAACTCTTGTGGATTTGACAGAGGTTTATTTTAGAAAATGGTGACATTCAGTTATAAAAGAAAATGTAATATGTGAAGCACTATATGTTATGTAGTGATAAACCAGCAGTATATAATGAAATTGTGAAAATACTATGAGTAATTTGAAATTTCAAATTAGCTAAATATTGAAAGAATCTAAACATGTTCTAACAGTCAAGTTATCTGAGATGAAATTTGTATGAATTTTTTGCTTTTTTTCTCAGTTTGATTTGAAAAATTAAAATGAGCATTTAATAGGCAAGCTATTATATAGAATGGATTTTTTTTTTATATATATATATATATATAAAGATAGAGAGAGGTCCTGTTAGGCCCTCTTTAGTGAGGGTCTAACAGGGAGCTTGGTGTGGCAAGATGATTGCCCGATAACACAAAAATGAAGAAAATGTTGCCCTAGCTTCCATGAAAAGCAGTGTTTATACTCTGTAGAATCCACAGCAGAAGCAGTGACAGTGGAGGTCCTCCTTGTGTGAAATAAAGTTGCTTAAAGAAAACTATACAAGTGATGCCACAGCTTGTGCTTTATATGTCATCTTTTTCAGATCAGTGTTCTCTTCCTATCATACGTAAAGGCATAAGAGAAAGGAGAGATACAACAGTGAGGAAAGAACAAAAACAGCCAAGATGGCTTCAGTGAGAACCAACTTTTCTACAAATATCAACCTTTCTGGAATTTGATTCAGATCACTCAGGACAGGCCATTCTTGGTAAGTGGATTCCAGAGCTGCTGCCAAGTTATTTGTTTAAAAAAGCATCTCTGCCAACATTATGACTAGAATTTTTTGCAACCTAACCCCAGCTAATGTTTTCTGATTTATGCAAGCTACTTGTCATGACTCCCTTATCATATCAGATACTACTACTCRGCTGCTTGTGAGTGGATCAGTGACACTCTGACACTGTGAATCGATGTCTGTCAAAAGCAGAATTTAAATTGCTGTATTTAGAGCAGGATCTGAACAAAGATGCATAGGTTTGTTTTGCTTTGCTTCCTCTGTTTTTTAACATGTTGTCTACTCACAATGTAATAAGGCAAAATACAGCATCTCTCTGCAGCAAGTAATATGTTACCAATACATTTTGTTCAAGTAAATTTATTTAATCAAAGTTCTTATCTGACACTGAACACATCTCCATGAGAATTACAGAAGACTATCTTAGTGAGCTGAATAGGATGACATTAAGACTTAAGATATATGCTAGATTTCGGTACTGTTCTGTTGCTGGGACATCAGTTGTATGGTTGCATGGGTGGATATTATCACCAGTTTAAAAATGGGTACTTGAACAGTGTTTGCCCAGTGATGATAGAATCAGAGGTTGTTCCTTAGTCTCTAGAGCATTCCTCAATGCATTTCCTCAGAATAATGCTAATGCTGCCATCCCTAAGCCTTCTATATATAAGATTTATATAAGGCACATGTGAGGCTTGGACACATCTCCAATAGATGCGATGAAATATGAAGGCCAATAATCTGAGAATACTTTATCTGGAGCAGTTGTTATCTGTCAGCTGTGCCCAAGTAAGGAGATTCAAATGGGAACAGGTATAGAGATGATCAAGGAATTGATGAACAGAATTATTACCGCTTGCAGGCAAGAATTTAGTTATCACAGATCCAGACTGCTACTTGCCCTAGAAACAGTACTATCAAAATTTCAAACAGGATACTATTAGTAGGCACTGTTTACCAAAGGCACTGCCAGCAAAGACTATGCTGATGTAACTGCTACAGCATATAGGACATACATGTACAAACTGCAAATCTGCATTATCTGCTCCAGTACGTCAAGTGAGGCTACATGGACAGCAGCAAAACAGATAAGATAATAATACTGCTACTTTTTGTGGGTTCTTTTTCTTTTTTTCCTTTTGTTTTCCTTTGTTTTCTTTTTTCTTTTTTTCTTTTTTTCTTTTTTTTTTAATATAAAAGTAACGTTTACAACAACCTTAATGCTGAGCTGTCATTCCCACCTTTTGGTTTGGCATTATTACTTTTATTTAAGGTATTCTTGAAATACAATGCTGCCCTCTTGAGGTTACATAACACTTTTTTGATATTTTAGTTAGATTTAGTTAGTTATAGAGAAAAAAAGTTGWTGGAAATATTGCAGAAATTCTCTTCCCTCTTTCTGCAGTGGAGTGTCTGTGCCATTCCAGGGGATTCCTAGGGAAGATGAATGATAGCAGCTAGAGACAGATGTCGAATATGTTGGGAGTGATTTCTAGTGGCAGAAAGTTTGGCAGCATTCCTACTGTCAGGACTAGAGTGAAAACTTCCTTTTGTGCATCTAGTTGTAGAATATTTGCTGCCTGTCTCTAGAGGTTTGTTTCAAGCCTCACTGTGTCAGTGTGAAATGGGATTCAGTCTCTATGTAATGATTGGTGTATATAAAGAGTAAACATCAAAAGAAAAAAGAAAAAGCTGAATAAATAGATTACCAGAGGTGTTGTTACATGACTACGAAACAGACTTGCTTGTTGGAATGAATGTGTACGTTCACTCTCAAATGATCAAATGGATTATTTCAAGGTTAGGATATACCTGATAAGTTTAGCAACCATGTAAAGAAATTTCTAAATCTGAGAGTTTTATTTCAAATGAATTTCCATGAAGAGCTGTATTTTTTCTTATAGTCACATGTCCTTCTTGATTCAGGCTAACTGAAAGCAGAACAAACATTTGGTGGACTCTGTTTGCCCACTCAGGACTCAACCATGCCCAGAATACCTCCAGAGTAACCAATACTACTCCTTTTATGCCAATATGATAGCTACAAAAAAATAGCCGTAGGAATACAGGCTGGACGAGCATATCTAAGGGTAAGTTCTCAGCAGCAGGATACCTGTACCAGCTACAGTAGTCTGCTTTTTGTAATGCAGATATATGTATAATTTACAAAAGAACAGGTTGTGAGACATGGACCATTCTGAGACAAATTTTAAGAATTCTTTTACAAACATGGCCAGAATGCATATTATATATGTGTTATGCAATACATGAGCAAGATTTCTCATCTGAAATCAGAAATCTGAGGGKTTTTTTTTTTCTCTCCCAGAAACAGAACCAGGCACATATGAGAACTGGTAGGAAATAGGTATTTTTAAAATAATACATCCTACATTCTTAAAGGAAACCTAGTTCCTTGGAAATATGTTCATTTGAGATAAAATATTATATATGCAACTAGTTTGTAATGTAGCCTTATAGGCAAAGGGTACTCTAGGTGATATTTTGAATGTAATCTTCTAGAGCAGTGCTTTTCAACTTTTCTGCAGAATGCAAGATGTTCCAAGAGCAAACTTACTAGAACATCTCAGCAAAAGCTGATGTAGAGCTGCTGTTGAGATTCATGCACTTTCCATACCTGTTTTGGACCCCAGAAGTTATGGAAAACACTGTGCTGCGGTTCTGGTCTTTCATTAATGTCAAATTAACCTTAAACAGGAATATTGCTCGTGCATGCCTAGTATTGATTTCTACTGTAGGCCTGCTGAAAGACATCTGATGGGAAACCTAAGCACATCTTTAGGTAGAAGCTGTAAAGTATCTATATATTTGTGTGCCATATTTCATCCATTTTTTTCCGCCAAAATTCTGTTAATGTCTTATTTCTCTGAACTAACATGTCACAGCCTTAACTATTATCAGGAAAGCTCAGGTTTTTGTATGCAGTAGAAATATGCGTCAGTAAACACAAGCAGCAGCTGTGAACCCAGCATCTATAAACTGTGCTGGTTTATATATCAGTTTTCTTTTAAAACTGAAATTATAAATAACAGTTTAATGACTAGGTCCAGTTCATTTTGCCTGAAGCCACCTGACCTTGAACTCCCAACTTGATCTGATATCAAGTTAAACAAGGTTGGTCTGGGTCTGGACACAAGTGTGAAGAATCAGGAAATGACCTTGATGATTCGGTAAGGACACTTTCTTGGTGATGGTTCAGAGAGGACACATAATCATTCAGTAAGGAAAGTCTTTCTCCTGAGTTAGTATTGAGCAAGATGGGAGACAAAGATGCCGGCTAAGGTGCAGTTTCATCAAAAACTTGTATAGTCTCTCTTCCTCTAAATTATAGATAAGATCTTTCTTTCTGTCTTGCATTTTTTATATCCAAACTTGAGAAATTTTTCAGAGTATGAAATAGATGAAAGAAAATACATTGTTGTATTAAACTAGTTTCAAGTTGCTTCTTGGAGGAATATAAACAAAATTCATTTTGGGAAATCCTACTACAGTTTTTGAAGAAATCATATATGTAAATCCTGTAAGAGCAAAATTGTRGTTTGTATTACACCGCGTTCCTGTAACAATATGGTAGGCATCTGAAATTTAAATGTTCATATGACTCGGGCAGATTTAAGTATGATGTCTGAGTTTGTAACATGATTTGAAGGTCTTATGGATAGCATAGTTCTTCATTCACCCTATAGGCAGGAAAAGACTGAGGTCTGCATTACTASAATTCCTTTGCTTCTATTTTTATGGCATTATTTTACTGTAATTGCTATAGGCATCATTAGTGTAATTAGTAATAATAACACAGTTGAAATTAAGATTAGATTATCAAAAGCTTTCTGCAGTACAAAGTTGTTCAAGCTTCATTATAGGTAAGAATTAAATTTTTAAATTTAGGAAGATGTTACATCGTGAAGGTTTTCTCTTTTAAGCATATTTTAAATATGAGATGGTGGTGAAACATCCTATGTATGTGACCTTCTGAAGGCCATGGTAAGAAAAGACTTCTAGGTTGTTTTGGTAACAAGCATATCACCTGCAATGGCAAAACAGAGCAGATGGAACTTATAAACATTACATCAGATCTGTTGCTAAAGATAACATGTTTGCTAAACTTCTCAAAATGCCCCGATGCCCCAAGTCATCTCCTTGTGAGCAGAAGCAGGACTATTTCCTGCTAAGACTGGGTCGTGGAGTGCTATACTATTACTGCCCCAAAATATTGATCTTATGAAGTGCAGCTATCTTTATTTTGTGTAAATAAGAACAGGCATTCTCTCCTTGAAGGTCAAAAAGTGTGCCAGCGGATGCAAATAATGGAAAATACCTGTATGCTAAGGACATGGAAGTAAATTAAATTAAAAACATTTTATTGAAGATATGAAATTAATCTATTTTAAGGAATCTTTATCAGTAGGTTGATGAAAAATGTATACCTTTCAGTATACATGACTGATATACATAATACATATACTTTGAATGTTGCATATATATACAACATAATACACATACTTTGAATTCAACAAAATGAGGTTTTGATATTTAAWTTTTTTTTATCAAGCTATAGTATAGATCTTCCTAAGTTTTGGAAACTTAAAAATTAGTGGATTTAATACTCTGTAAAATAGAGGTTTGTTTGGGTTTCGTAGTTCTTGTCAGAGATCATCAAGCTTTGGAAGGTGGTCTGGTGAAAATGGTGCAGAGAGTCCACTTGGGAGAGATTTGAAAAAAAGAAAAGTGGAGAAATAAGCATCTAAAATTAAGTCAGAGCACTCACCCGCATTTCCAGGAGGAAGTAAGTTGAATTGATAAATAAATGTTTTGTCAAAATTCATAAGGTTTAAAAAGATTTCTTAGATATTCCAGTTAATTTTAAGCAAACTGCCAAACCAGAAGGTGCTGTTAGTGCTCTTGTCAGGGCTGATATTGAGGCTGCGGGAACTAACCCAATTCAGTAAATAAAG